GCTTTGACACTGGGGCTCAGGCTCTCAAGGACCTCACCTCCTGCCCCTCAGGCTTGAGAGCCCAAGCTCCAGCCCGAGTTGCAATGTCAAAGCACCATCTACACAGTTTTAGCATGCTAGCACGAGCACCACCACCACAAACCTATGGCACCAGGCTGGGAGGCTTGCTCCCAGGTGCAGTGTAGGCATACCCCTAAGGGCCCTCACGGTCTTCTATTTTTGACTATGGATAATGAAGTCTGTGCAGTTCTCCTCATGTTTTGATATCCCATGTTTCCCCATAATTTGTGAACTCATTCATATTCAGAGATATAAAGATGACTGAATTTACATTAAAACTCTGGCTTCACAGTACTAGGAACACCATTCATATTTTACAATATATAACAGGACAGAGTCTGAGGGCACCGTGCAAAGAACCTAATTCTCAAATTTGTGATGAAAGTAGGTATTATAGTGAAGAATGCCAAGTACCTCATTTTCCCCTTCTGCTTTGGAACTCTGCTGAAATCAGTGCACATCCTTTCATTGGGACTTTGGGGTGATTTTCAATATTTTACAGTTTGGAGATATCGGAGTTTAGAGGTGACAGATGAACTCCTGATCCTTGTCCATTTAGACCACTGCTCTAGGTGACACAGTCTTCAAAAGGAGTCTGTTGCATCACTGAACATCCCTGTTATCTGACCATTGGAGTGGGACTGACACTAGCCTCACAGGAGACCTACCTGGTTCCCACTAGCAGAGGAGAGCAAGAAATTAAAAAGGGGGAAATATGTAGCCTGAGCAGCAAGAGTAGCCTAATGGGCTATTATCGACACTAAAGTATACATTCTATACCCAGTGCACATACACTGAGTAGACCACATTACCTGAAGATACCAAACAAAGACAAAAGAAAAGCAGAACACCCCCCCCCCCACTCTATAACTATTCTTATTAAAACCAACGAAAATATCCCTAGGTCAAACTGTAGATCTGTGATATCAAAGATTAAAGTAGTCAAATTATAGAAACACTGAAAGCAGCTGCAGGAAACACACTCCACAAATAGCTACAGAAGTCACTGAAATGTTTCCTGGTACAGGATTGCACCCTGCATTCTTTTCACAAAATAAATGTAATCAGTGTTACACATGAAGGGTCAGATTTGCAAAGCAGTCTCACCCTGATCTCTGTAAATTGTATGCACAGTTTTATAAACACAAATCAAATCACTCTATCTACATGATTTGTGCACACAAAATTGAGGACAGAAATTTAGAGACCTTTTCCTATTTATAGAAAACAACAGGGAAGACCAAAAAGAAATTGAATGAGTAATGAAGAAAGGTAAATGCAAAGAATAAGTCCAACAGGATTCCCAAATTGTAACTCCTCATTTCCAGGAATGGGGATATCATCTATAAATTTACTCCAAGCAGGGAATCAACCTATAAATTCAAGTTCTAATACATTTTTCACCGCCATGAGCTATACACATTCTAATACATATAGATACAATTTCTAAGGCCTAGATTCAGGAAAGCATCCCTGTTCTGGACAGCACTTAAGCACATTTGTAACTTGAAGTCAATGAGACTTAGCAACATGCTTAAAGTTATGCATGCACTTATGTGCTTTACTGAAGCAGGGCCTAATTGCATACAAGGGAACTTTTCATTAATAAAAACAAAAAACTGTTTAGCACCATCCTTTTGAATGTCTATCCAAACTGGGCTGATTCTCCAAGCATTTTGATGCTCTGCCATTCCCAACAGTGAGAATGGCATTGTTAAATTTATGTGACACAGAAGAAATCAACTAATTTCAACAAGAGACATGTTTTCCAGTTTATTCTAACAAAATGTATTTGTTTCATTGACAAGTTGTGTTATACTTGAAACTTATCAAAACGTCCAAAGTTAACAAGTATTAACGGAACAAAAAATCTTGTTAACTTTAACTTAAGGGAACGTTGAAAAGAAGTAACATAGATATTGAAATACACTCTCAGTGCATAAAATCTCTTAAAAATAAGTGTAAACATAAAATATCACAGTGCATATTCGACAAACAAATTTAACACTGCTACATAATCAGCACCCAGCCTCAACCTATTCACCAGAAACCTTTCTAAACTCATATCCCCTTACACTGTATGCATTTCACATGTAAACTGTGAAATCTCACAAAATGCTAACTTCCCACACACACATATAACAGAACCAATCACATACCATCCCCAGTTCAGTTGCCTGTTATTACCTAGAGACCCCTATATTTTGCCTTTTCCCCTAGCTATACAGAGCAGAGACTTGATCCTTCCACATCCTACCTACCCACAATGATCAAAGGATGACTACCCATCACGTATTAATCTCCATATACAGTTCAGAAATAACCCCCTTTCCAATGGCACAAAAGACCAATGTACTCCACCCACCCTTTCTTTACAGAATGAAAAATCTCATTATACCTTCCCTATTCACCCTCCCATTATTGAGTCAGATACCGATACTTTCCAGATACAGACCATATGTCCATCTTCATCTACATCATTCAACACACACAGGCCACAGATCTCAAGAGCTCTTCAGTCTCTGGCTCCCCTCACCACCCCACTGCCTTTACCTAACCTTCAAGATTGAAGAGTTGCACAATATTCCTGGCCCTTGCTCCTCTCCTTCTAACTGGCGGCTTAGGAGATTTCAGGATCAGGATCACTAGGTGCCCTGACCTCATACTGCCTTGCACAACTTATGGGATATTTCTTCCTAATGGGAAAGCTTTGAAATGCCATCCGTTCCTCAGGTTCCCCATCCTGTGAAGTGGAGGGGTGATACACAGAGGTCCCTTTCCTTTATTCAATGTCTCATAGGCCACATGGACTTTATAAAGTGTACATCAATATACGAAACATGACCAATTTTTGTAAATAAGTCTTTTAAAAAGTTATTTTAAATAGTGTTAAGTCCTAGATGTTAATGGTATCTTACTATATGTAAAGACTGAAGTTTTACAGTTAAGCTGTTTTAACCTAGAGGGACTTCAAAAAGCAGGTATTTTGTGTAAAAAATTTAAAAGTGAACCTTTAAGCCTTTGTCATCTATTAATGGCTTGACAAATCCTCTTCAAACTTAAATAATTTCTTCGTACCCTGAAATTAAATCCCAAAACCACTTCTTGTGTGAAAAGCTATAAAGGGAGTGAATATAGGGACTAGAACTGAAACCTGGCTACAATCTTAACTAGCGAGCTGCTACTGGAGTAGGTCCATAGTAGGGTAATTTTTAAGGACCCTCAACTCAAAAACATTGTTGCACTTTGGTGAATAAAACAACTGTGTACTTTGGAGCAACAAAAACCATTGCTGCAAACAGAAACAACATCATTACTAGATTAACCACACAAGCCTGGACTAGATCTCTAATCCTTTAGGTCCAAATACACCTCTATCCCGATATAACGCGACCCGATCTAACACGAATTCGGATATAACGCGGTAAAGCAGTGCTCCGGGGGGGGGCAGGGCTGCGTTCTCCGGTGGATCAAAGAAAGTTCGATATAAAGCAGTTTCACCTAGAACGCAGTAAGATTTTTTGGCTCCCGAGGACAGCGTTATATCGAGGTAGAGGTGTACAGAAGTCTCTAGTATGTGAGCTGAAATAAAACCAATGTCAAATATCACAGTGCACTATGAAAGAACCAGTCTGATGTGCCTAATTTGCAACCAGCCACTAGAGGGCAAACTGTTCAAACACACTAGTCATCACAATTAGACACCTAAGTAGTTAATTTTGTTCCAATTCAGCTTTTTGCAAGGATTTTTAAGGATATTTAAATATGCAGATATTTGATAGGATAGTAAGAAGCTATTTTTGAGCCAGAAGGACACAACGGTATGTTAGACAAGCCACATGTCAAATAGCGACAGTTATTTAATGGCAATAAAACAACAAGCAGCAGCAACAGCACAGCCAAGTAAAGCTGGCAATTCATCCAAACCAACTTTCCTAGCCAAAAATCTTTGAATAGCTAAAAACGACAGTTTATAATGGAACCTGGTTGCAAACTTAAGCCCTGATTCTGCAATTTACAATGCACAGGTCTGTGATGCTTGCAGAGACCCACATAACTTCAATGGGGCTCTGTGTGAGTACAGCACCCCACCAGGGCATTGTAAATTGCAGGACTGGGGTCTTAACTAAGAACCGGCTATTACTGCTCTATAATAAGCCCTCTGTGATCGCAACATCGGTGTCACCTGAAAAATGACAAGCCCAGCTCTCTTCATACCTGGGAATGCTATAGAAATACATCAGAAGACGAGCAAGCTCTGTACTTGTGGAATGTTCACTTGACCAGATGGTATTTCTTGTGCAGACTTGCACCACTGCTCTGCCACCCCGGTCTCGGCTTCCTAACCAAATAAAACACACAAAGAAAAGCCGTTGAGAAAGCATGACTGAGAACGCGCGATTTAGAAGTGTGTGTGTCTGGAAAACGACAATGCAGAAACTCTTAAAAGTGAAAATCAGTGATTTTCCATCCCCTGCATTTACCTTATTATATAGATTGTGATCACAAAATTTCTTAATCAGTGTGAAGATCATTCCTACGTATTTAAGTTTCTACTTGTGATTTTGATGGGCAAGATATCTAGCTGGTGTAAATTGGCTTGGCTCCATTGAATGGAGTTGTCAATTTATACCAGCTGACCCTAATATCTTCTAAAAATAACTTTTTCTATTGCAATAAATTTATCTTGGCTATCTTTAAGAGATCTGTGTATATACACTATGCATGTGTGTGTTTATGTTTCATTTATCATCAGGCACATTGTTATCTGTAATTACATACCACATAGAGAAATGACTCCAGACTGCAGTAATTCCTGGTTGATTTCAAGTAATTGGTTTGGTAATCTGTGGCAAAGGTCTCCAGCATTTGTAGGCAGCAGCTCACTCTCACAATGGAATAGCTCAGGAGATGCATTTGTAATTGTGTTACACTCACCCTGGAAACTGTTTCTTGAGTCTATTACTGTTGAGTGCTGAGGAAAATCTGGCCAAATGAAAGACAACTGGTTACAATTTTTGCTTTTCTGTGTATCTGAAAATTGCTCTTTAGGTAGCTTCCTATCAACATGTAAAAATTAGCATATATTTGTATATTAGCATATATAAACAGAACAGAAACCATACATAGATTATATTAAAAATAAATTAAAAGAACATTACAGTTATAAAGTTAAGCTCTCAGAAGTTAGGAAATTCCAGAATGAAGGTTGCCCTTTTGACCTGTGCGTATGCATGATTCAGTCTAATTATATGATCACAGAGTATTTTCTCCACCGGACCCCTGCTACTCTCAGTGCACAAGAATCCTTCTGCCCCTGCCCTGGCTTGTTCCTGGCTCCAGTCTGTTCCTATCCTCCCCAGGTTCCTATGTCCATTCCCCTTCTGCTCTTATTCCCCACGCCCAATTCAAGTCCCTGTTTCTGTCCCCACACCCACCACAGCTCCAGCCTCCCTATTATACTCTTCACTCCTAGACATTCAAGTCAGGCTGTTCCTCCTTCTCACTGGAGAGCCAACAGGAGGCAATTTCCCTGCTCTCAGCTCTTGTGCCCAGCACTAGTGGCCCCTAGCAGTCATGAGAAGCAATTGCAGGGAAAATCCCTTGGCTGGAGCATACAGGCTCTGTGGGATGGTGCACGAGCACTCAAATTGAGTAGGAGATGTATTGGGACTGAGCATGCTCAGTAAGGATGGACTAATCCAAGAATAATGCTGCTAGCATCTAATAAACTTGCACTGAGCATGTGGGAACTGAGATTTCCAAAGGTTTATAGTTTGGCTAATTTGGCACAAAATTTCACAGGGATGGCAAAAGGCATATCACTGACATGATAGTGACGACCTCTACCAAATTTCAAGTCGCTGCTTCGATGCATGGAGGTGCTGCAGCTTGTCAATCAATATGTTATAATAATTTTGTTAATGAATATGGACAAAACAATGTATTTTCCCTAACTTTGTTCTTGGAAACAGCTAAACTGCTTTAGCTGAAAATCTGGAAAAAATTCAGCCTGAGGCAGAAACCCAGCATGGAAAATTTCAACCCAAACAGTTACAATTTGGTAATGTTATAAGCAACAACAAACAGGGTTTTAAATTGGTGACCCTTAACTATAGGTGTAGCTATCAAGTCTGCCTATGCTAAAGTTTGCATATTAAATTGAATGAAAAACACTGGGATTAATGTCATATTAAGTTTGAGAAACAAAGCACCCAGAAGTCTGGAAATTTCAATTTCAACTCTGCTAAGTTGTGCTTATGCCTTCAAATATGGTCAGGGCTTAATTTGTGCCAAGGTTTGCCAGGGCTGAGCCCCGACACCTCTGGGCTTGGCAGTTCATAGCCCCGGCACCTCTGGGCTTGGCAGTTCATAGCCCCGGCACCTCTGGGCTTGCTGTATCAGTTATGAAAGTAAAAAAAAATTGCTTGAGCCAGGCACCTCTTTCATTACAAATTAAGCACTGAATATGGTCTTTCTTTAAACAATTATAAATTATTGTTAATATTATAGAAGCGGTGATAGCAAGTCCATAGCCAAGACTGCATTCAGATTTTTTCTTTTTAAACATAAAGCAGGACTAAAGCCCCTGCAATATTAATCGTTCAGGGAACAATTAACTGCATTATCCATTCCATTTTTAAAGAAAATATTTACAGACTTATGCAGAGTAAATATTTTTAAATGAACCCTAATTGAAATGGTCCTGAGCATCTTGCTTTTTTTGGCTCTCTGTGGCTAAAGAACCTCAATCATCACAAACACCAAGCTTCTCGCACACACATAAATGTAGTTCCGTTAACCTCTCACAGACAGACCACTTTTCAAATGTTTATTGTTAACACAAAGTAAGTTATTCCCTTAATTTATCATTCCTTTCTGTGGCTCCATAAAGAAAAGCCAATGGAAATGGCCAGGATCAAGCAATTACTTCTTTCCTGTGAGGTTGCCCAGCCTGCACTGAGGCTGGGATTGCTTGCAGGCAAGCTGGGGTTTGTCTTGTCAGCCCAGTTTGGCTGACATTTTCCACCTAACCATGCCCCTTTCCATTTTACAGTCTTTAATAGCAACAGGGAGCAAGCAGAAGGAGGGAGATTTACAGCCACATTGGGTTGACACAGCCCACTTGCATTGCACCTCAGCAGCAGTAGTAATATACTACAGTGATGGGGGCAGGCATATAAATAGATTACATTAGATAGCAAGGAGACACTGGATCTGATTAACTTCTTCCAGTTTCCTAGGCAGGAGAACCACTCTGATGATCCATATTTTTACATGTAAATAAATATACACAAAAACACAGACAGAAGGGAAAGCAGAGGAAAGAAACATGGAAAAAAAGTTCCTTGGCTGACATCCCACATTTTGGAGATGTCTACGTCCCACAGTGCAGCACTCAAAGGTACATCAACAAGAAACAGGGAGAGATCAGAATTTGCTAACTTGGAAAGGAAAATTCAGGTGGAAAATGGCTATTTTCAAACATCGGAAAGACTATTACCAGCAACAGAGAGAAAAAACAGGAGTTAAAAGCTATAAAAATACACAGTACTTGACATCCTCCCATGGTACTTTATATTACTAAAGGATTAAAGATAAAAATCAGTATTTATGCTGGTGTTGCTAAATGAGCAAAACTGAGTTAATTATGGAACAACATTCTTGGCACAATGAAGCAACAAATGGCAGTGTAGTTGACTCAATGCCAAACTGAAGCTGTGGCAAGGCATCCAATCAACTGCAAAGAAGAGGAAGAACTGTTTGGTGGCTAGGGCATGGGACTGGGAATTTGGAAACTTGGGTTTTGCCCCTTGACTTTGCCAATGTACTTCCCATAGCCTTGACAATTATCACTATAATACATCATTTTATTGTTACTAAAAAAATAAAAATAAAAAAAAATATCTGAAAATGGCTTTAGCTAAATCAAAACAACTATACACGTGGGACAGTTGCTCAGCTGGTATAAATCATCATAGCCCCCTATTAACATCAACGAAGCCCCATGGATTTACAACAGCTGAAGGACTGGCTTGAGTTATTTATTTATTTATTTGGAAATGTTCTGAGACATTGGGACTGGCAGATGGCTGCAACTGTCCTTGCAGGACTTGGCAGGGATTAATGCCAAGGGTGCGTCATAGCTGAAAAATATGCGAAGTGCTTGAACCCTCTAAACTCTCACTAGGTGCAATGTCAGCTGAGGATGCACAGCACCTTGCAGGATTGGGCTCTGCGTTTTCAGAGGAACCACTAATCTGAAAGCAAGGCACGGAACATAGGTTTATATTTTAGAATAGTTTATAATGGCATCATTTCAATGCTTTCTGGGATGTAACTGGTTGAAAGTACTTTATCTGCGGTTGCTGGTCTATTCTTTCTTCCAACTGATGGAGAGGAGGTAGAAATCTTCTCTTCCCATAAAACATATTAAAAATCACTTTGCTGAGAAAGTTTTAAATTTCTCTCTATCTTTGCATCTGTGCTAAGAAGTCTTCAGGATCTCTGCTGCTCCACCTAGGCACCACAGCCATGGGGACAAACGCAAACCCCGAGGGAGCCAGATTTAAGAGTCTGCCCTTCCCAAGGCAGAAAGTGTGATTCCACTTCGCCAGCTGCTATGTATAGCAATTGGAACAGTAGGCCAGGGAAAAATGCAAGGGGAGGCAGTCCTGCCCTATTATCCTGGGGGAACAGAGACTATTCCACCTAATAGACAGACAGACAGAGAGAGTGGATGAGCCATGCTTCATGAGGACAGCTCTGTTCAGCCAGAGAATGAAGACAAGGCCACCAGGTCAAAGATAAACTCTCCTGCCCCACTAGCAACTAAGATAGAAAGTAGCAAAAAATCTCCCATGGAACTTCCCAAACTAACTGGAAGATGAGCTGGAAGAGACCCCATCCTAAACCTGCTCCCTATGCTGCTGGAGCTACACAAGTTTTCTACCGCCCTGAAGCATGAGCTGTCCATCTCTACCTGTCATGCAGCTCTGTGGTCTCCAATCTAAACTAGGCTCTAGCACTCAGAGGATAAAGTGACATGATGTAGAGCCAGTTTATGATGTCATCAGAGGCTTGCAAGCCCCTTTCAGCAATGTAAAGTTAGGTCAAGATTTGGCTTTTTGATACCATTGTCAGTTTTTACAGAACATGGCTCTATATCCTAGCGTAAACCATTAATCCAAGCTATGATACCATTGATATATGTCACCATGAATACAGATTTGGTCAGAAACAACGAGGAGTCCGGTGGCACTTTAAAGACTAACAGATTAGTCTGTTAGTCTTTAAGGTGCCACCAGACTCCTCATTGTTTTTATGGATACAGACTAACACAACTACCCCTCTGTGATTTGGATATTAATTACATCAAACTGTTCACTGAAAGAACGACTGGTGAAACCCAGCCGCCTTATCACTCAAAGATATAAAAACACTATAGAAGGGTGTTCCCAGTTTCAGTACTTGTGCACCAAATTTTCAAGACATTATTTTAGGTGTTAATTCATGGCATTACAGAATAAAACAACATCAGTAGATTAACATAATCTAGCAATCACCAGTGGCAAATGCCCTGTTTGGAAGCTGTGAAATCACCTGAGATTTCTCACCACACAAACTGGAACTGGGGGGGATGAGGGGGAAAGAGGAAATCTCTGTCCAGAAACACCTCTCCAGAAACACCCCAGTGCATAGCTCAAGATGCTAATAAAAATTATATACTACAAAACCCCATTGTCTTGCTATGATACTAAGCAAAAAAAAAATTTTAAAGAGGATTCTTATCTTAGAAATGACCCATCAATTTCTAAATAAATAAATAATGACAACTTCTGCATTTCCCTTAGACTTGCAAGCATAACCTCTGAACTCTAAATGAGGAAAAAAGAAAACTCTAACTCCCAGAAGCTGAATCTGTGACCCCCGTCACCTCTGCTGCCAATCTTAAAATCAGTTGACCATAACATGACAATTTTTTAAGCAGAATTCCACACTGAAGTCAATAGAAAATTTTACTTAAAAACTTATGGCATGTTCTGGCCCACTGACTGACATTTTTATATTTTTATTGTGGCTTGATTCATGTTTGAAGATACAGTTGATACTGTGATAAATACATTACCTGAAATATAAGAACAAAGAAATGCTGCAGATGAGAAAAGACCACACATTTATGAAGTTTCTCTGTTGTTTAAATGCCATTAAATTACATAGAAGCAGTCTTGTAAAAGTCTATCAACAACCATTAAAAATATGTTGCACATTATTTGTAATTCAATACCATGTTTGTTATAACTAACCACACGCTTTCCCTTATTTGAAAAACAGGCTCAGATAACTTAGATTGGGAGGGCAAAGGTTACACTGGGATAATGACTGTTTCATTAGAAAGGTGGTATTCATGGTGTTCTCAGGACTGCATTTCACAGCTATTTAACACTTACGTCTCCATTGACAATTTGCATTTAAAGGTAGTTGATTTTTTTTGTACTGATCCAAACCACATGAAAAGTAACTTGAGTTCTTTTTAATGCTATAAATACAAAGTATAGAGGATAAATTCCAGACCTTCATTACATGCCCAGCATCTATGCTTTTGGTAACATCTGTAAAACGCCAACTGACTCCAAAGACATTACATGGGATTAACTGAGAGCAGAATTTCATAGGTGTTTCAAGAAGGTTTTTTGTTGATCTCTGATCAATTTTTTTAAAAAGCAGAATATACGAAGCATTCTGAAAAGCATATCTTAAAGCAATGGAAATAAAATAAATTTACTTAAAGTATTAAAACAGTAGTAAAATAGATGTAATAAATAAAATAATAATAATAATAATAAATAAATAATAAAACTGATGATGTCACTGTTATTTGTGCTTTAAATCTGAGCTCAGAAAGCAGGAAAAAAAAGTAATTTTATGTACAAAGTTGATATATGTTGACACAGGCAAGCTAAAGATTTTATAAAAAATAAAATTCATGTTGTAGTTTGGTTTTTACCTTCATCCTCTTTGTTGCATTTGTTGCTTTTCACAGTAATGAATAAATGACCATTGGAGTCCAACTTCCCCAGTCTTAAAGCATGTCCGTTTAAGAGCTTTTTAGGGTTTGCACTTGCTGAACTATCTGAGAACAACCTTGGACTATGATCCTTACCATGTGAACTCTTACGTGACCTATCTAAAGACCGAGACCTTCTCGGTCCAGCCCTGCAATCTGCTACTGAGAAAGTTTCATGAGGTATAAGCAGTTTTTCTGAGGCCTGTGAACAATCTTCAGGCCTTATGACCTCTATTGTTTCCTCCTTTGGTGCAAGTCTATCAGCAAGAGAATCTTCCTTCTCAATTTGTTTCTCACGAGATTTGCTCTCAGAGATTCTCAAGTCATCACTCACTTCACTTGAGTCCACTGTCTGGTCTGAAGTCTCCTCGTCTACAATTGACTCCTCTGAGCTGGAACCAAGATTCATTGGGTTTTGCAAAGCTTCCATGTATGACTTTCTAAACAAGCGTCTTGTCTCAAAATATGAAGAATCCCTGAGTTGTCGTCTTCTTGGACAAGGGCTGCTCAAATCCGTGCTGAAAGTTATGCTTTTTATGCTGTTCTTTCTCTCCATTATGGGAGATAACGCTCCACCTTTTAATACTTCAGATGTCATTTCAGGCTCAGTGGCCTGCGGTAAAACCCTCTCTATTATGCTGGGGCAGTCCTTAGTCAACGTACTGAGATTTACATACTCTCCTTTGCTCTCCTCAGCTGGGATCCCAGGGAATTCTAATTCAGCCCTACTTTCTGCAGTATGAACTGGACTATACACTTCACTCCCTTGGTTTCCATGATTATCGGTAAGTGTTGTTTCTATGACAGTAGAGCCAGTATCATTGGAAGTGGAACTGTCATGTGAACTATTGCTCTCCATGGTCTGTGTCATTGTTTTCACATCAGTATTATTGCTGATTAACCGATCAAGGAGAGGGTTACTGGAATAATTATGCAGGATTGTTTCAGTTGTAGGGACAAAAATAGGATTCACTATATTCTTCCAAGGTGTTCTATATACAGCTGGGCCAGTGGTAAGTAAGCAGCTTTGCAAGGGAACACTCTCCCTTTCACAATTTACATTTTCCAAAAATTCTGCGGTGAAAACACATCCATACATGGTTTCAGGTACAATAACTTCTTCCATTCCTTGTCCATGTCGGGAGAGGCATTTTAAAACTAGTTTTGCTGACTGCTTCCCAGCCGGAAGAATTTGTAAGTAGAAATCCCCTGGTTTCAGACGGACTCTGTGAAGAGATGCTAACTGTACTACCACTTTTTCATGGATGCACAGTGGCCAGCCTTCATGGTAGAAAATAAGACCAGTGTATTTAGCCTGTAAGGAAAAGAGAAAGCAAAATGTCTGAGGAAAAAATCTTTATCTTGGACGACAGCATTTTGTTACAAATATAAAACAGTGGGGTCAAATTCTGCACTGACTACTCCATCATTGAGTTCCATGCAATTAGACAGGGCTATAAAAGGTTTGTGTAATATAAACATAACACAATTTAAATAGTGTGTCTTAAGATAAGGGGATATGAATATTATGCCTCTTCCCATTAGAATAAGCTATTAGTTTACTGTTACATCATATCTTGCAGCCTAATTACATTAATAGAACTGATAATAGTTCCAGGAGAAGGTGGATCTCTGGGGTATAGAAAAAAGGGCAGCAATAGGCCACACACAGACATGCAGATAGGAGCCATTAGGAGAAAGCTTAAGATAAGCCAGAAGGATAAAAATGGCAGCAAAAATAAAGGAATGGTAAACTCTTCCCTTCTAACCTAACATTCAGAGTCACCATTGCTCTGGGCATTCTCACAGTCAATGAGAAGCAAAATGTGGACAATACTGCCTATGATGTGTAATAAAACATTTTTTAACACACACAAACTACAAATTTCCCACACTGGTATTTAAAATAGTACCAGATACATACTACCTGGTGGGTGACAGGAAAATGAGGCAGGGGCATCAGTGAGATCCAGGGTAACATTCTGGTAAGAAGTCCAGGTCCCACTCTGTCTATAGCTGCAGAGAAGGGGGAAGGTGCTGACCCTGCTTAGGGAATTTATTTTTCATATTAACCCCTGGTTTGCAGGTGTCTGATAAATCTGAAGCCCCTCGCTCTGCCAGCTTAAAGGGAGCTATTTCTCTTCCCCCATTTCCCCACTCCAGAGTCTTCAGGCTGTTGGGGCAAAAGTATATCCATTTCTTCCTCTAACCAGTGACCTAGATGTTGCTGGGTGTGAGGGGGATGTCTCTGCTACTGTACCCACTTCCCATCCTCCTGGCTGCTGTGAGGAGAATGGAGAGAGGTCTTTACTATTAAACCCTTCCTCCAGTTTCCTGACTGTTGCAATGGGGAAGGTTTTTCACTACTGAGATTTTCCTCCCCTATAAAGAACTTCAGTACCTTCCTCTGATGCTACTAGAAGTTTTCCCAAAAAGCAGCAGAGTGAAAATGCAGTATTGCCAACCCCAGGCATTCAGAATCATAACACAGGCCCACAAAAATCACAAGATTTTAAATATATTTGGGGGGTTTATTTTTGAGCACTTAGGGGTAATATTTTCTACTTTTTGTCTGAAACCACGAGAGCTAGAAATTTACCTTAAAAAAGAAAACCAAGATATTCTCATATTCAGATGATTGTAGGAATTGGGGCTTTAAGTAAAATATCAAATATCACAAGACTCATGATAAAACTGTGGAAGTTGGTAACACTAAAACTGATGATTCTTTTCAGCGTCACTGCTGCCCACAAGACTGTCACCTAGGCAAAGCTATGAGTAGCAGTAGAGGTACTGGAGTTGTCTGGCAGACTCAAAGACAGCACAGCACTGGGTCACTTTTGGAATGTTTTGTTTTACAGCCATAAGAGCTCAAGAATTATTATTTTTTAAATATAACAATGAAAGCTTAAGTTTTGCAGAAATTGATAGTGTCTTAAGACCTATAGGGAAAATTTTCTACTCTTTGCTAGGGAAAGGCTTTGGATTTTTCAAGCTTTGTACTAACATCAACTATAATTTTTGCACTTGAAATCAAACTAGTTCTGGTTCTGAGCAACTTGCAGGAAGTTTTAGAATAATCTAATCAGGCATTGGGGAAAAAAAAACAGTAAGAAGGAAAACCATAGAGTTAGGAAGCAGGAAGGACTTGAGGCTTTGGGATTGAAAGGGGGAGCACACCCTCTCTTTCCCACCCTTTGGGGAATATGGTCTTATCTCCTTCTTCTTTGAACTTGTATGTGTAGGTCCCACCCAATGAGTCTCTACCATGTCCCATGGAATGCTGAGCATCCCACATGGCTGGCGCTCTTTCCTACCTGGCTGGGTACACTCCCCAGTTTCCCTATGCCTGCATCCCTTTCTCAAGAGATTCTTCCTACTGAGCCTCATAGAGCAAGATGTTTTCTTGGAACTAAACACTGAGTTTGCCTGGGCAAAGGGAGTAAAGCACTGATCAGTTCATTCCATTGGCTATGCAGAACACTGCACAATGTCTGCATGCTATTAGGCTGAGCAGAGAAATGCATGAAAAAGTGGCCTTTCCTTTCTGGGGATGTGTGAGGAGCATAAAAAGAATAAACCTGTGATTTCACAGATAACTGGTAAAGATGGAGAGGTATCAGAGTAACCAAAACAAGGAGGGTCTCCAGCAAATATGTCCATGACACCTTTATCTTGAGGAAAGGGTGAGGTGGGGGCAGAGATGGGAGAGGAACCTGAAGTTCACTTTACACAAAGATTCATTGTTTGTAGTTAAGTTCCAAATATTGGGAGAGCAAAGTACTTGCTTGAAACACCCTGTTTGCTTGCCAGGAATGGAATATTTTGGTCTCCAATTTCCATTCACTCTGCACAGTCTCTCTTTTTGCCTATATATCTCTAATGACAAATGACTCTTGCCATTTGGAATCACCATTTATTTTCATATATGCCCGACTGCCTCAAACATTCTTTTGGATTTAAGATTCAACTAATGCCACAGTAATAGCAAATGCATTAAAAAAAACAGCAATAAGGTTACAAGAGTGAAGGAGATGCGCATTCCCTTCCCCTTACTAAAAAAAGCCAGTAGTACAGAACAAAATATCAAGACTGAATGTTAGCTCAGCCAAAAATGCACCTGCTGCAAAATCCTCCTGCATCTGGGACTAACTAATACAACATACAACTGACAGGGTCATAACATGCAGGCAAAAAGATTTAAGGACTGTAGCAGCTGTAAATAAAGTAATTTATACAAACTGTACTATCTGACAGATAAGGAAAGCTCTGCATGTTTCAAGAAAAGTTATTTTAAAATAAAATAAAATAATCCCACCATACACAATCTTGCTTCTTTCTATTCAGTTTCTGTTAAACTCTTTATTAGTGGTCACTAATGCTAACATATATAGGACACTGTTTAGCTCATAAGAGAAATATTTTAGTGACATGATGGGGAGGGTGAATTCTTCTGAGAGGATCTATACACGGAGGGGAGCTCCCCATTCTCACTAGCAGGGTAGTGACAGCTGATTCCTTGGTACCATCACCCCATGCCACAGATCCTAGGCAGATTGCAGGTTAGGGGCACATAGCCCCACCATCCCACCTTAAATCTGCTAAGAAGTAAATGCAGTGTCTGGTTCTGCAGGGTGGGGGGTAACCTCTGCCCTCCTCAATGGTACCATGTAAGGAAAACTCCACAAAAGGAACCTCACAGCTTCCCTCCCTCCATGGCCGCCTCCTATTGTGCTTTCATGGTGTTGTGTGTTTTTGCCCCCCATTCCGCAAGAAAGGAACAATTTCTCCCTTCCCCTCACCAGTAGTTCTTTCACACAATTGTCAGAATATACATTCAGTCGGGGGGAGAGAGGGGGAGAAGATAATTCACCCAAATGAAAATAAGAAGCAGCCCTCACTATTTTTTTCTGCCTCTATTTATTTCCCAGCTTTTAGTCTAATCTAATTAGTCACTCTTCATGGCAAACACAATTACAGCTTATTTCTTTTAGTATTCTGTAATAGTAAACTCAGTGTTTAAAATTCACAGTAACAGATGAAAATTACAAACAGCTTTAACTGTTTGGAATGAAGGCTAATGATCAGTAACATTACATAGCTTATGATAAAGAGATTTCATTTTAAAATAAAAAAAGTATACTTGTGTAACTAGAAAGATGAAAAGAAAAACAGTCACAGAGACTGGTGTTATTTACATGTCACTACAACAAAACAAAAGGTTTGTCAAGGCTTTACTGTAACATTCCTATTCTAGAAATCTACTCATTTTGACAATTTCTTCATTATTTTTGGAAAAAACAAAGAAGTGAAATTTGCAGTTTTATCCCCAAACACTATACGGTCTTTAACCAGGCAACATTCACTTGCAGAAAAACCATCTTTTCCCAGCTCCTCAGCTAATGACACTTAACAAATTGTTGAATTCTTCAGAGACCATGAAAGGTGATGAGAAGTTCAGAAGGAAGCCAGCCATCCAGAACTGGATTTAAAAACTGTTAAGAAAAAGGATTTTCAACCACTTCCAGACTGACAATGAGATGTGCTGGTCCAGTGGGCATAAGAGGAAAGAAAAAGCGGACGCTGGGAATGTTGGAAAGCAGCTTTCAATTGTTAGTGCAGTCAGCTTCACAAGCTCTCTAAAAATAATCTGTCTTGATACCAAAGAAACTCTATTCCCTAAAAATCAATCTAAAGAATGGCCTTGATAGATTACCTGCTACTAAACATGGTAATGGCTGTTTCTCTAGGCATAACTCATACTCAAACTCCCCCGAAAAGTTATTGTAACGTTACTGAGGAAACGTAATACTACTTCATATGGAGAATTCACTTGTAGAAATAGAGTGTCAAGCAGCAGAGAAGGAATTACTATTTCTCCAAGAAACAAAGAACGACCCTCCCCCCAAAAAAATTATATTGCAGCCATAACAATCATCACAAAAATACATCTGGCACAAGAAGACCAACTGGAAAGAGACTGGGTGAAATCCTGGCCACTTGAAATCATTCAGGGTCATTTGTACAAGGTGTACCAGTCCACATTAAAGAGGTGCACATTCTAGTAAACACTAGCATGTTGGGCACTAACTGGCCTGTGTGGACCCTCCTGGTGTGCACTAAAAGTTCCCTAGTGAAAGTTAATATAGTCCCACCACAATGTGCACAAGGAAAACTTTTAGTGCACTCCAGCAGAGTCCTCATGGGCCAGTTAGTGCACAACACACAAGTGTGCACGAGAAGTTACACCCTTCTAAGGCAGACTAATGAACCATGCAGACAAGCCCTTACTTCAGGGAACCAGAATTTCACCCA